ACTTCCATGCAGATATCCTTTGGATTGCAACCATACGCACACACACACACACACCATATTTTCATACCCCCCCCCCCCCCCCCCACCCAAAATAATTTCTATCAATGGCTGTAAGTCTGTCTTACGTATTCATTACTTTGCATGCAACCTGCATTATAAAGTAGCTAAAAACCTTTTATCTAGGGTTACAAAGATGTCTTTTGTTACAATTTCTGCTGACGGCAAATTGTGGCAACAGCACCTTTGCTTCAGTGTCAGATTCCCCACAGGATATGTGTACAGCATTCTTAATGCACTATCCGCAGAACTTTATCTTCAGTTAAATATTAATTAAAGGGCACTGTTAATAATGGGGTACACTTACATTCATTCAACAGTGTTGAACACAACATTCTTCTACAGTGGGCACAAAACCTTAGACAGTTTTGAAGATCAACATCCATCCCCCTGTGCATTTTTAAATCAAGTTCACTGATCAATGGCTTTGAAGTGCGGTTCCAGTACACTCACTGATGCTACTGCTTTGCGCAGTGTGCCAGTTCAACAAGCCATACTAGTAACAGTGTGGCGTCACAAACTCGCTGTGTTTTCGGTACCAATCATGTTCCAGAGCTGAATCCACAACAACTACAGGCTAGAATGAAAGAGATGTGCAGGATTATTCCACAGGAATGCACTGAATGACATGCGGAGATTATAACCTGAACCCTCCAGTCTCCAAAGGCTTCAACGCAATTCAGCATTTGATCATCTAATTTGCTGTTTTTCAGTTGCAGTTTGATGGTCTTTTCCCAAACCAATTTATCTATCAGTGAATTCAGTTTTGGATTATCTTTAAGGCACTCACTAATACAGGCCATTGCACTGTTCTGATGTGGAACACTCGAAGCCCTTTCCTGTTCCTTATGAATCCCACCTAAAGACAATCAGCAGCTTTTGACCCAACCTACTACTCGATATACTGACATTCTCAAGCCCAAACTCTTTGCCACACTTTGTTTATTCTAAAAGTTTTCTCATTATGTAGAGAGAGCCACATTTCACAATAATTAATAACAAAAGTTACGTTACATTTCTAAAGCTTTATTGGTAAAACCTGTTTTATAAAAGGCATCAAAAAAATTCACCTCCGTTCAACCCCCTCCATTCCCCAAATTTCAAGCCTTCGACCTTTTGTAAATCATACACCTACACATCTCATACTAAGGATGGGTTCCTTTCCTGTAAGAACGTAACTCATTCAAATGCACTCCCACCAATATTACGTTCAAGGGCTGTGAGCTCTATGAACTGATTCATTCAGACCAGCTGTGCAAGATCTAGTCGGTCACCTGTGGGGTACCCTAGGATCCATCCTTGGCCCCCTCCTCTTTCTGATCTACATGCTCCCTCTTGGGGACGTCATCTGCAGACATGGCGTACATTTCCAAATGCACGCAGATGACACCCAACTCTACTTTTCCACCTCTCTTTGGGACCCCCAGTCCCCTGATGTTCTGTCAGTCTGCCTGTCAGATCTCAGGGGCTGGATAAGCGCAAACTTCCTTCAGCTGAACGTTGACAAGACGGAAGACATATTCTTCGGCTCTCATCAACGTCTAAAATCTCATGGTCCTCACCTCCTCCACCTACCCAACCTCCCCCTAAAACTCTCCGAACCTGTACGCAACCTAGGCGTCAGGTTCGACCCCCAATTAACCTTCCTCCCCCACATTTGGTCCCTCACCAGCGCCGCTTTCTTCCATCTCCAACGAATTGCCGTCTCCGCCAATACCTTTCCCCAAAAGCCGCTGAACCTCTGGTCCATGCCTTTGTCACCTCCCGGCTGGACTATTCAAATGCTCCCCTCGCCGGTCTCCCCTCCACTACCATTTATAAAATCCAAATCATTCAGAACTCTGCTCTCGCATTCTCACTCGCACCAAGCTCCGCTCCCCGATCACCCCAGTCCTTGCCAGACTGCACTAGCTCCCTATCCCAGAGAGGATTGATTTCAAGATCCTCACCCTCGTATTCAAGTCCCTGCACTCCTCTGCACCCCCCGACCTCTCTGACCTCCTCTCTCCTCAGCACAGTGTCCGTTGCCTTTGATCTCCGGGTCTGGCCTCCTCCTTGTTCCCCAAGTCCTCGGTTCTACCCTCAGCGGCCATGCCTTCAGCCATTATGCCCTGAGGCTCCGGAACTGCTTTCCTCACTCCCATCGTCTCGTTCCCTCCCTTCCCATTTTCAGGTCTCTGCTGAAGACCTTTCTTTTTGACCGGGCCTTTGGTCACCTTCCCACCCTTCCCCCTGTCTCAGCCCCGGAATCCTAAACTGTAAAGCGCTCTGAGAAGCCGTCCGGCGTGGAGGGCACTATATAAATCCAAGTTGTTGTTGTTGTAGTGCAAACCTCCCAATCTGTTTGCCAAGTTTAGCAAGCGAGGAGAAGTAGACCTTTGCAAAATGTGGCTGTTACTATGACACCAGAGGCATGCAGAGGTGACATTAATAATAACAATGCTTGGAGGTTCGATGACCAAACAATTGGGTGAATAAACCCCAGTTCATTATGCAATTCTGACGAAAATCCCTCACAACAACATTTCTCTCCCAAATATTCCAATATGTGGCAGAGTTCCCTCTGACATTGCTGCTGCCTCTACAGGTAGTCTTTAACCAGTTACTGAAAACAACCAGCAACCTGGGACAGATGGGCAAGACTCCATCCTCCTTTCATCAGGTGGGCTTCCCTTGTGTCCTTCTGGCAAGGATATGGAGGTAGGGGGATACTGAGCTCTCATAGATGTAGTTATTGCAACCTACAAAAGAGGCTCCAAATAATTGGTTGGCACCAATACCAAGCAAAAGTCTGCAGCTCATCACCCATCCCCGCTGAAGGTTAAGAGCTTGAGAGATCAGTGAACAATTCAAACTGTTTATCTGTTCACTGCTGTTTTGCAGTGATGTAGCCTTGGGTTTAGTCACTGATATTAAGCCTTATAAAACAGTGCTCACAAATCTAAGGAAAGACCTTCAGGAAACACAACAACCAGTTGTGACTAAATTGAAAGCTAATAATATTCCTCACATTTGATGTAATTACTCGTAGAGGAATATTGGCCGGGACACCAGAAACACTGCTTAATAACAACAAATTACATTTGTATAGCGCCTTTCATGTCGGGATGATGTCCCAAAGCACTGGACAGTCAAGGATGCGTACCCGAACTGGGGATTAGGATCGGAGGGGTGGAGGGCAGGAAGAGTGGGGTAATAAGTGATATATAATAAGTAATCATCTTCAAATTCAGTGCCTTGGAATATGTAAAATCCACTGAACCACCATTACAGGCAGACAAAACATCAGTTAATGTCTCAACCAAATAATGTGAAGCGTATTGTACTCGGAAGATTACGATACGTCTGAATGGGTTAATATCTCCCTCCATCCACCCCACCGCCCCCACTTATTGATGGTCGGTCGTTGCTGCCCTTGGTAATGGGGACACTAGGCTCCCCTGGTCACACAGCTCTCTTAAAGGTCCATAGGCTAAACACTTGACGGCAACGAATCTTGTGACTGTGTCAAGGAGACAGAATTCAGGCCTGGAGTTGTATAATGACCTGTAAAGTGTCTACACAATTTCAACAGAGATTCTCGGTTAATGTGCATTTCTAGATCACATCTTTACCTGAAGCTGTTATTATTGCAACCCATATGTGTATTTAAAATCCTGCAAGAGGACAGAAATGCAAGCCTGAAACCCAAACAAACAGGGAAACACTGCTTTTCCTGAAGCCATCATTACAGCTCTGTGAATGTAAAGCCACTGATAGAAGACAAAGTGCAGTCATAACCTTACCAGAACAAATTGCTTCAGTAGAAAACTGAAAAGAATTGAGATTCACTATACCCACTAGCTAGAGTGTATTAAGTGATGGCTTATATCGCGTGGCATGAATTGTGAAGATAATCGAGTGTCTTACAAAGGGGAAAAATAGCATCAGTACAGAACACAGTGCAAAGCTTCATTATGGTAGTCTGATATATAATACAATAAAGACCTGACTGCTGCAAGTACAAGCCCCATATCTGCATCAACATGAAGCACCACCAAACAAGAGGAAACCCTGGGGGTCACAGTGGCAACGTTATCTTGAGCTGCGACATTCGTGAAGGAATTAGAGCTGCACCACTTCTGTTAGTTGCATTTATATAGCACCCCTCATGCAGGGTAGCGTCCCAGAGCACTTGACAGTGGCGGAGCACGTCTCCGAGCCAGGGGGAGAGAGAGGGGGAGGTGACCATAGGCACAGTTGAATAGGAAGGTCTTGAGGCGTGATAATACCCGAACAACATTTGGAAGTTTATTTTTGAGCAACTTTAAAACCAGAAAAATAGTTGATGCTAATTAGGCTCGACTGCAGAGTCAGATGCTACTTATTTTAAATGCTCAAGGAAGAAAAAGTGAATAATTAGGCTAACTAATCGTTCATTAATTCCATCAAATGACATTAATTCAAAATTGAAACTGATTTAATGGAGTTAAATCGTTCTACATACAGGGAGATTTAGCCATTTTAATTAACCAAGCAATTAAGAAAGTGGTGTATGGATAAACAGTTTCTGACTGTAATGTTCTCCTGTTTGTCTCCTAACTTCCAAATCTTGTTCCCACACTAGACATTATTTTCTGATCAGCCAGGCATTTGACAAATGCGGAAACAATTAATGAGCTTAAGAGTTACCAAACAAGATTGAGAGATCTGCATGTGTTTCACCCGCAAAATATACAGTCAATTCACTTTACAGTATATTCTGTGAAGCGCTTTGAGACGTCTCAAAGACCTGATAAGACACTATATCAAATGCAAGGATTATTATTATTTTTATGTATGCCACTAATATGGAAATTTCCCTGTGTCCAGAAAGGAATGCACTCTCTCCCCCACAGGACGTACCCTGCTTACCCAATGTAGATGAGTATTAGGCACATGTTGGTGAGGGTCCCAGAGTGTGCGATGGGGTACTATTGGGAGTTTAACCAACTAAATAGCTTGCATTGAGAGCAAGCTTCTCGCTGCTTACCTAGCTGGGCCATCCTATCCATTAGCATTTTGGCTTGCAGGGTTAACAATAACTGAATGGGACGAATCTCTGCACCAATAACTAGTCTGTCCCTCCAAGACCTGCCAATGAGTCTGGCTTGCTGCTCTTGATATGTCCATCCACAACACCTCTGCCTTACCTTTTATTCACACACACACACACACAAATACCAGTGTTTCCACATCCCCTCCTCCTTCGCAGTTCAATAAGCTCATCAATAAGCTCTTCAGAGTTTTCATTAATTTTTAAGAGCCCTGCCTTCCCAAGGACTACGGTACTCATCATTTTTACTTCTGTACAAAAATCATTCTCGGTCTGCAAATTAGTCACGGGTAACTCACTCCGCCTCAGCTCTAATACTGTGGCTTTATACTCACAGCACAAATGCACTGCCTTACAAGTCAGAAGATAATGTGGGATTTGAAGGGTGGTTTGTAAATGCAAATGGACTTCTTGTTTGTATAACAGAGTATGAATGAATATTTCAGCTCAGGCAATTGTTACCAATAACTTCGACTGATCAGGTTTTTGGCAAACGCCTGTGTATTGTGTCAGCACATTCAACTTGTTGGGGGCACTGGATCTGTTGGGCTAGTTCAGGCTTAGTTGCCATTTTCTTTTGATATATTGAAACGTTTAAAGTACAACGTTCAAAACAAAACAGGCGGTAATATTTCTTGTTCAAGCACAGAATAAAAAGTAATTTCAAAAAGTGCAAAACGATGTATAAAAAGGAAACCTATCTGGCTGAGAGATTACATTTCATTCTAGATAGGAGGTACGACCAGCTTAATCAGATTTCTAGATCAAAACATGAATTCAGAAATGGAAAACAAATCCAGCGTTGGTTGAATAACCTCTGGATGGACTTGCTACTTGCTCCTTATTTGTATTCAATAGACAGAAATTGACTTTCACTGTCCCGTGTCCAAGGATTCTGTTTTAAAGTAACATTGTCTTCATGTAACACTGTCATGGTGGCTTCATGGCATTGAAAAAAACTAGCGTCTGGACAAGCTGCCCTCATATAGTCTTTTCAATGCAATATAATGGTTCATTTGATGCTCTTCAACCACAGACTTTGCTTGACCCAAAGCTTATAGAAGGCTTCAGTGCAGTCGCTTCTCCTCAGTCTCTGTGATCTTTCCACTCTCAGTTTATCAGTCTGTGTTACTAAAAATCCCAAAACACAAAATCTGTACAAGATTTTTACCACTGACCTGAAGAATACAGGTGCACATTCCACTCTTCAGGCAACATTCCCTCAGAGTAAGCTGACTGTTTTTTGATTGATAACACTGGGACAGCTGTGAATCCTTGCAAAGAGCTACCTCAATTTTGCTTCATCAGGGTTCAATGACCTCTTTTTTCCCTCCACCCCGCACAATATTTCACCCTTCCCCGAAGCATTGACATTTGCTACAATTCTGCTTTCTTCAGGAGTAATAACAGTTTTGGGATTGAGGTGTTTGCAGACCAGTTAAACAGCCAACTAATGTGATGTAAGCAGAATTCTCATGCAGTGAAAAGTCTGTGGGGAGATTGGACCTACATTAGTGTAAAATTAAAACACTGAGTTTCTACTTGACTCACATAATTGTGTGTGGGGTTGGGGCTAGAGGAAGGCAAACAGGCTAAATATCTGGGAATAAAATGTATCCTCCGTTCCCCCATACCTCTTAAGCCTAGACTCTTAAGAGTCCTTGTTTTAAGAGTTGGATGATAATTTTTCCAGTCTAGGATTATTTGGGGGCATTGTAAATTCCATAATTCGATATAATGTTGGTCTCCAATTGTCTTTCAATTTTGTTTTTCAAAAAGAAAATCCATCCCTTTTTCTCCACTAAGCAAGTCCTCCTGGTCCTATTCTGAAATCCGGTGGCTCGAGGCTGGTTGGAGAGTAAGTCACTGCTGGCTCCTTTATCCAGAGCAAGGGGACGCCGTTTTTACCATCAGATTTCTTCTGCGCATTCATGGTTTTGTACCGTGTCAGCAAAATGGCGATGAGAAGAATTCCAAAAATCGGGAATGGGTAGAAAAATATGAAGTAGAAAAGGGCGTCGTTTGAACAAATTGCCTCTTGCAAAGAAGAACCTGGAAGGAAGAATAGCGAAGGGTCGTTAATTTATTTCGAAATGCTTATTTATTATTTTAAACTCCTCATCCTTTTGGTTGGTGCTTATGTTTTCATCAAAATGAAAATTGAGTGACAGCCATTGGGCCCAGACCATTCTGGCTTCCTGAATGAAGTAAATAACCTGGCAGTGGAGGAGTGTTGGTGTAAAGAGACACTAATTCCTTCAAAGTTGCACACTAAGCTAAATATCACTGAATATTGGGATACAAGTCAACTACAAAAACATGGAATTATACAACAACAAAATTATATTTGTATAGTGCCTTTCATGTCGGGAGGACATCCCAAGGAACTGGACAGACAGAGTTACGGACCCGAGCTGAGGGTTGGGGAGGGTGAAGGGCAGGGAGGGAAGCTGGGAGAGCAAAAGCACGGTCGAAGAGGAGGGTCTTGAGATGGGTCTTGAAGGTGGCAAGGGAGGGGGCGAGACGGAGGGACTATGGGATGGAATTCCAGAGGGTGGGTGCAGAGTGGTGGAAGGCCCGCCCACCATTAGTGGGGCGAGTAAGGCGGAGCCCACTGAGCAGATGAAGCGAACAGGATGGTAAGGAGTTAGGAGGTCGGAGAGGTAGAGGGGAGCAAGAACAGTGGAGGGCTTTGAAGGTGAGGATCTTGAACTGTATTCTCTGTGTGATGGGAAGCCAGTGGAGATCGGCAAGGCTGGGGGTGATAGGGTCACGGAGCCTAGAGTGCACTTCACATAGGGTAATATCTTGGAATGCTGTACGAAGACAGGATTCGTGAAGGAGGGGAAGAGATTTCCCCTCCTTCCCTAATATTTTGAATCATTATTCTGCTCTTATAAATGTGTCCGCTTCTCCTGCTCTTTTGGTTTCATATTCTGGGTTTAGTGTTTTTTAATTTATTTACTTTAATAAGATCTTCCCTTGTTCTCTCTAAGCTGTAGAGATCAAGTTTTTCCAGTCTTTCCTCATAGCTCAAGCCTTTTACACATGGGATGTCTTGATGCTACTCTCCTTTCCAGGGTTTGTATCGTTTATTTTATTTCTGCATTAATACTAACCAATAAATACATCTTTTCCAAAACCATTTCTGACTTATGGAATAAATATACATAACAATAATAATAATACATCTGGCCTTAGGTACTTTGTACCACTCACATTGATTCTATAGCATGGAAACAGTTAATTTGGTCCAACTAGTCCATGCCAGTGTCCTGGACAATAATCCCCTCATAAAACTAATTCTTCACTTCATGGCAAGTTGTGGAACATTGCTGTGTGCAAATTGGCTACTGTGGTCTGGTACAAAATGAGTAGTCACTGCACTTCACAGTACATCATGTGAAGCACTTTGAGTCATCTCAACAATGCGATAAGGGACTATACCAAATGCAACCACTATTGAGAATCCTTGCATTTAATTGGGCTCCCCATCAAAATTCCAAAGCTCAATTGGTATCCCCTCCAGGCCTGGGAAATTCAGTTCACAGATAGGATAAAAATACTTTTTTCTCTAAATGACATACAGACAAATTTCATTGCACAAATTCCAACCTAGTGTCAGAAACCCAGTTATTACGCTACACTTTAAATTAAGCAGTCGACCAAAAATGCTATTCTGAAACAAACACATGGGGGCGGTCAAGGGTGACCGTCCCTCAGATTCCTTTCTGTTTCTAAGAGGAAGTGTCCACTGTGGTGCTGTACTCCTCTCAAAACTTGACACTACGATTATACCGTTTATATTTTTTTGCATTAATACTAACCAATAAATACAGCTTTTCCAAAACCACTTCTGATTTATGGAATAAACATACACCTGTCAGGTAGTTACTTTCTACTGCTCACGTAGAATTTATAACACTATGGTCATTATATGATTATGAAGGGAACAAGTTACCTGCGTTTTGTATGGTGATGATAAGCAGTCCAGACTCCCCTTCCCCTAGTTTATACCAGGCATTGTTGGCATTTTGAATCCACTCCTCCACATGACAGTAGTAGCTCCCACTATCGCTGGTGTCGGCGTTTCTCACTGTCAAGCTGTACAATCCACTGGAGGGTCTCTCTAGCTTCAGTCTGTCCTTCATCCCTTCAGCTCCACTGCGTGAGCTGCCGTACTCGAAGACCGAATTTTGATCGATTTTTAAAATAGTTTCCTTCACCATCCTGTCAACGGCCCCTTTGGATTTCCACGCCAGCCAGGACACAGCAAATCGTGAATCCCCTCGTGTTCGGAATGTCACGTTGCAGTTGAGCTGAAAGTTGCCCTTGTTCGATACTGTGATATTCAATTCAGTTTTATCCACCTGCATCTTGAATTCTTTTGTGAGGGTGACAGGAAACAAAATGGGAGAAAAGGTTTTTAACAATCAAAATTTCATAAATCTGCAGGTTCTTTCCCCTCTTTTAATGTCTCCTCCTTTCCTGAAGGTGCTAACTCATGGTCAGAGTACTGTTTCGTAAAAGCTGAATGTCTTTGCTGTCTTGCTCAAGTGGCTATTCTTTATCTGCAAGGAAAATCGATGAGGGTTGGGTCGGAGGTTGGAGGTACTGTTTATTATACCCATGAGATTAGGTAGCAAGGGCTCCCGCTCCTCAACCCTAGTCAGTGACCTTTCTGGGAAGTGCACCTATTGTTGTTCCCTCAGTTGTTCCTTCCTCTCCCAACTATCACCTTTCACTCTCTGGGCACACTTGCGAATAATAATAATAATTCTTGCATTTGATATTGCGCCTTATCGTGTCGTTGAGACGCCTCAAAGTGCTTCACAGAATATACTGTAAAATGGATTGACCGTCTATTTTATGGGTGAAACATGACAGTCAAATTGCGTCCAGCAGTGACCCACAAACCGTTATGGATTGAGTGACCATGTTTGTTTTGAGGGATTATTACCCCCGGAAAGCGATCCGCCAATCGGCTAATAACTGGGTTCCTATTTACTGCTAGGTTTAACCCGGGTCATCTCGCTTCCATGAGAGAGAGAGAGAGAGAGAGAGAGAGAGAAGACCCAGGTTAACTTCCTGCCCAGGAATTGAACGCAGGTCCTCTCGCTTGCCATGACTAAGGTTAGGAGTGCCTGGTGCCTGCGGAGCTGTTACCCATCCAACAAAGAGCGGAGATCTGCAGGAAATGAGGAGAGTTAATCAGATCAAAGGTGATATTTTTTCTTAAAAAACTTTACCAAGAGTTTGAGCCATTTAAATCTAGCAACCCAAGAGCTGTAATGAGGTGACATCAAGTCACCACAGTAGCAATACCAGTTGCCTGGAGACGTGCAGTACAAATTGCGGTTCTCTCACCAGGTGTACGATTACATTAAACCAATGTCATCACAGGCACAGCTGGGGAACCGACTATTTTATCCCACTGCAATGCTGTCTGTGATAAGGAGTTTACGTCAGAAATTTCACGCTGGGGTGACCCCTGCCCTTTCTCATCTCAGATTCCGTATAGTACGGCCATTGTAGAATACAGCAGATCTCATTATATCATAGCCTTGCCAGTTTTGGGTGAAAACCGAGAGCTGTGATATGTTTATAATCACCATGCGATCGATGGGTCTCAGTCGATAATGGAAGACATGAATCCCACCCCCTCACAATTGTTGGCCCAAAGCTGGCTATGCCCACCATTGGACTTGCTGGTCCATCAATCGGAGTGCCAGTTTGTGTGGACAATCTGCTCTTAAAAACAAATCGAGTCCAGTTAATATCCTGCACAAACAAGCACTCCAAACTGCAGCAAAAAAACTCCACAGAGAGTTTTGTTTGTGTATGTGGGGGGGGGGGGGGGAGTTATGAACAGAGGAGGAACACCCTTCCCCCCGCAGAAATCAATGTTAAGGTATCAACTGGCCAATTGACCACGTCTTATCAACAAAGTCGTAATTATTCCCCTAAAGTCACTGAACATTTCTTGGAGGACATTTCTGACCAATTCCTCTATACACATGATTGAATCATAAGAAGCTGGGATGGTTTCTATCACCACCGCACTTGGCCACATCTCACTTCTCTCCAGCCCACAGGTGGCAATAATTGACACCACTTTAATCAGCAGTAAAAAGGGGGCCTGCCAGTATTCCAATTAAAATTTCCTTTTTAAGAATTCACACTTTGATTAGGTCAACATTAACACCAATGGTGCTAATGAGATTTGAAGAGATTTGCCTTCAGCTAACTTCAACCGTATCATTAGTTTTCCTCAGCGTTTTTTCATCTTTGTCCAATTACGAGCATTTCACATCAGTCGATTACAAAATTATTAAATTTGTAACACTGATCTCATAACTTGCTTGAACCTGATGCTGAGATTTGGAGCAGAAACTTCCCTCTATGTATTTTGTTTCACCAAACACAGCGTATGACTGGGACATTACACTATGTCGCTGATCCTTCATTGTCACTGGGACAAAATCCTGAACTCACTACCTCACACCAACATGGGAGCAACATTACCACAAGGACTGCAGTGGTTTTAAAGAGAAAGCCCCACCACCACCTTACCAGGGCAACCAGGGATGAGCAATAATAATAATAAATGCTGATCCTGCCAGCATTGCCCACATTCCAAGAATGAGAATATAATTGTTTCATCAACGATTGCCCTTCCCTTTCCTGAATGTGTTTGACTCTCTCTCTTTCCCCTGGTACTGCTTAACAGTTTTATGGTTGCTAACCACCCTTGTGTAGAGCTTCAAGCTATTTTATTATGGGAGGCAGTGTAGTTGAGGTTAAAACTAGCTTTACTGGCCATCCAAATGTAGTCATGTTTCCAGCAAGCGAACTGGGGGGGGATCGGGATGGGTGAGATGAAAAGCGATCAGGAACTCTGGTTGATTTTCCCCCTCCCTAATCCAAGGGTCATCAAGGTTAATTATACTGACCCAGCAAAAGACAAGGGGATCAAATCTCAGACCTTCTACATGGCTCAACTACTCACTGAATCCACTCACTTAACCATTGATCTCTCTTCTCGCTTCCCAATTCCCCCCTTCTAAATAAACAGGAGGAAATAATCCACTAATGGTGTAATGCGAATGGGCTGAAGGCAGCTGGCTCATAGCAGTGCATGTCCACAGTTGTAACATATCCCATTGTGTGAGGCACAACATGCGTGCAGAGGCTGGAGAGGTAGAGTAGGCAACTGAATGGGCCAGTGTCAAGACCGCAATTAACTTGTTGCAGTTTTAGTCAGAAACTTTGAGTATCACGTTGCGAATATCTTGCTGGAGGATCAGTTAAACTTTATTTTGTGCACTTGTTCATTAATACACCCCCAAAAAATCATGTTTCAACTGAAATGAAACAAAGCAGATAACAAAGAAATAGTGTGCAAATGTTGTTGGAGAAACAAGGCCAGGGCAGTGGAGGGAGATGACTGCACTTGGGAAATTTAATGACGAGACCACTATCTGACTTCTGTGGGATGCATTGAATTAACACTGTTTTGAGACCCACCATCCTACAGGATAGTGGGTCTCAAACCAGTGCCAATTTACACCTTTGCTTCAGTCAGGTAGGATTGTCAGCATTGGGATTGTGCATAACAATACTGCTCTGGTTTCCTCTGTGGATTGCTGCTGTGCATTGGTATCATGTGTATCTGCATTTTTGAGCATGGTGTCTTTCAGAGTTTGATAGTAAATGGAGCACTCGGTGCGTGTAATCGAGTTCACCCAGCTGCCCACTCATAAACCTACCTACTGACAAGCCTGCTCCAACTCACTTGGGGGAAGGAGGAGAGGAGGGAGTGGAGAAGATGGGGAAGGCAAAAACACACACATGCTAGTAAGCAAAGTAAGCGACATCCACAATGCAATCCTGGACAATGTGATGTGCCACTGTAATTTTTCAGGGCACAAAGCAGGTTCCATCCTAGAGGGAGGATCGTTACATTCCTGCATATGATGTGTTGTTTTGTTGGGAGTTTAGTGGGCAGTTTAAGATTGTCGATTTCAGATTCAGTAATCTGACCCTGTGTATTTGTGATTTCCCTGGTGTGATTGCAGCACTAAATTCGTAAACAGCGGCATGATCTGAAACCTGCTATAATTTGTTTCCGGTGTGGAGGCGAATCGCATTGTGCTGATCAGAAATCCATTAGAATTCTGGTTCCGCCTTATCAAACAGCGACCATTCTTAATCCACCAAAGCACTCAGCCACTGGCCATTAGTAAGGGGCCACATGGGATATGAAGGCAAGCCCTGAACTACACATTACTGGTAATGTGTTCCTGATGCCTGTCAGTGCGATAGCTTTCGAAAACAACTCATTAAATCTTATCCTAAAGTGGGGGGATTAAGACTCATACAGTACCTGGCTGTTGTACAGTGACAGCAGTCATTCCAGACTGATCCTCTCCCACTTTGTACCAGATGTTTTGGGGGTCAAGTAGCCACTCCTCCACATGGCAGTAGTAACCTCCGCTGTCGCCAGTGGTTGCTCTCTGTAGCCCTAAACTGTACAGACCAGTGGAGGACCTTTCGAACTGCAGCCTGTCCTTCAGTCTCACAGCGTTGTCGGCTGAGCCTCCGTACTCGAAGACAGAATTCCGATTCAGTCTGAAAATGCGCTGCCTCTCAGGCTCCAGCATCCTCCAGACATACCAGGTCACAGAGAGCTGGGAGTCCAAGCTGGTGCGGTTGCTGATGTTACAATCCAGCTGAATCCAGCTGTCTTCCGGCATGGATATGTTCTGCTCAGTTTTCAGGATTTGCAAATTGTTTTCTGTGGACACAAGGGAAAAATATACGCGAGATTTCAATTTCATTTAACAGCAAACTCAACCAGCAAAAGGATTTTCTTATCAAAGCAGAGTCTGTCTCTGACAACAACTTGGATTTACTTAGCACCTTTCATGCGGATAGGATCCCTGAGCGCTATGAGCCATTAGCAAGGAGGCACTGATCAACGAACAAAATCATTTGTAGCAGTTGCAAACAAGATAGCTTGAGTGAGCTTTCCAATTTCTTTTTGTAATTGAACATTTAACAATTTAGTGCTGCTGGATAAGCACCAGAATATCATGAGAAACTATTCAGACTTTCTTCCTTTAAGTGGGTCAATGTAGGATATATAAAGAACTTGTTGCCAATTTTTTTTTCTTGACTTTTTTTTCCCCACCACTCATTCTCTTGAAGACATTTAACTTGTTTCCTTATGCTGGGGATAGCTCTGTACAGATGCTGGTCTCCCTCATTGAAGAGGAACCTTTTTTTCCCATAAGCAAGCCCTAACAGTGATTGTCGACATTTTGTCTGGGATTTGAGCCTAATCGATCGTGTCCTCACATGATATCCACACGCGCACAGCAGTGGCACAGTCACTGGGTATAGATCAGAACAGAATGCTCATTTTCCTTTCACTAATCTGGAGAATTTAGGCCAACTGCAGTGCTCCTCCCGATGTTACCCTAGCTGAGTTCAGCTGTCCCAGTACAGCCTAGCAGTTGATCTGCAAGGGGGAGGAATTGGCAGCTTTAAAATAAAAGCATAAACCACATTGCTCTCCCCTGTCTTCTCCGGTGGGCAAGCCCGCCCCTGTGCAGCGCTCCTAGAAGCTATCCAGCATGGAGGGAGCTAAAAAAAATGCCTGTTGTTGCTTCTTTATTTCTGTACTTCCTTTGAAACTAAAATAATGGTGAAAATGTTTGATAATAATCCTTGCATTTGATATCATGTGTTCAAGACGTCTCAAAGCGCTTCCCAGAATATACTGCAAAGTGAATTGACTGTATATTTTGTGGGTGAAACGCGGCAGCCAATTGCACATAGCGGTATCCCACAAACAGTTGTGGATTGACACCATCAAATTATTCATTTTAAGATTTTTGTATGTAATTTAAAACTACACAGGGAATATTAATATTGTTCTCCCATGAAGTATTACTATTGCTCTCGCTCCCTTCATCTCTTTTCTCCTCCCACACCTCCCACCAGCAGAATAAAAACTGCATGTATTCATGCAAATCCACAATTATGTTTTAATAGTTCCGCCAAACAGGAACATATATGAGACCATTTCTGAGCCGCTGAGAGGAGTTGCTGAGGTTGGTCTGAATAAACAGGATTGCTCGAGCATCTCGGACTAAACAATTTATCGGGAGACATGTTAATTGAATCCTAAGGCTCAGTGACTCCTCCCAGCCAATTCCCTTGATGATATCAGCAGCACACAACATAATGTAATCCAAAATATTCAAATAAAATCAACTGGAACACACAAAGAGGAACAAAAGGATATTACTTCATAACTAATGTACAATGGCTTCCTTTTGTTCAAACAATTTCCATGCTTCCCACTTTTCATATTGGTTTGATAATTTAAATGGCTATGGCAGCAAGATGTTTTTAAGCAATGGGTTTATTACTTTTTCCAATTTTCTCCCCTCTACTTCTGAAGCCACTGGCTCACAGCATAGTATCTCTTGATATCTCCACCCTCCCATCCAAGTGGGTATGCACCCTGTGTGAGACTAGACATTGAGCAATCACCATGTGTGAGATCAGACATTGAGGGCTATGCAACAGCAGTGCTGAATGAGAGCAGAGGGCGGACGAACATCACAGCTGAAGCTGATCTAGGTTTGACATCCACATGTGTACTTTCCAGCAGTGGATACACCATAGCGATCAGGAGCAGGAAGCTCCCTTGGTAATATTTTTCCATCCTCCCCACACCACAGATGCTGAGAATAAGTGCAGTGAATGACTGGCTGAGCAGTATGCTAGTGAATGCTTGAATAACTGAGCAATGTGCTAGTGAAGGTTGACTGACTGAGCAGTGTGCTAGTGAATGGTTGACTGACTGAGCAGTGTGCTGGTGAATGGTTGACTGAGCAGTGTGCTAATGAATGGTTGACTGACTGAGCAGGGTGTTAGTTTTGACAAACGGCAATCCATCTGAAATGTTAACTCACTTTCCTCTCTCCATAGATGCTGCCTGACCTGCTGAGTGTTCCCGGCGACTTCTGTTGTTATTTCAGATTTTCAGCCTCTGCAGTATTTTGCCTTTTGTTTGGTGTTGGTGAATACCTGACTAAGCAGGGTGCTATCACCAGTATGAGTTAGTCTCTTTGTATAAAGTGTGCAGTTTCGTAAACCTCAATCAACAATCCCCTGTTCATTTCCATGAAATACTGCTCTGTTGAATGTATTATAATAACGATTATGATTTGCATTCAAGGCTTCCAGTTCGAACAGATAAATTTGTATTTGAGGAACATGTTAATGACTCTTCATCACAACCTTTGTAAATGATTATCTGTCAACTGTTAAACAGCTCAATTGAAACACTTACTTATTAAGTGACTGTGGGGGTAAAGGGTCAGCATATGTAAATTTCATATGTCTGTATATTTGTTGCTGTACAAGTGATTTTTTTTCTGGATACGTAAGTGGTCCTACTGCAGTGTCACTAACCATTTAATGATTAACTGGATCCCGCTGGTACGATATCTGTGGGAAAATAGCTGTGTGCTGTGTTTTCACTGTGTGTGGAAAGGCTCAGCAAACGTGTTTCCTGCAGGCAGGAATGATAAGATTTTGGGTTATGTTACAGAACTGTGCGAAGCCACATTCTGTATAAACAGTGTCAGGCTGACTCAGTGGTAGTACTCTTGCCTCTGAGTCAGAAGATTGTGGGTTTGATCCCCACTTGGGGGCTTATACGGCGTATAATCTATGCTGACCCTGTAATACAGGACTGGGGGGTGTGCAGCATTGTCGGAGGTGCCGTCTTTGGATGAGTCATTAAATCAAGGTGTGGTCTACCAGTAAAGATCCACTACAATATTCGAAAAGAGATGGAAGTTTCTCCCAGTGTCCTGACCAACAATACTCCAAATAAAATTGGTCACTCACTCTCACAATGGTTATTTGTGGGACATTGCTGTGTGTAAATTGGCAGCCACATTCATACCCAAAACACATACAAAATGTGCTGTGAGACACTTGGAGATGATTTGATGACCTATTAATGTGCTATATCAAATGTAAGAATTATTATTATTATATATAAATGGCAGCAATGAAGAGCAGCTCTAGATTATAACAGTCAATAAGGAGCAGGCAGGGCATGCTACCTTGGTACAATGGAGCAAATGGATTTGGGCTTCAGCCACGAGTGGCACTTAGGGGAGAAGACAGAGTGACTGCTACCCAAGTATTTCTCTTTCCTCGCTGGCTCAGTTCTAAAGAGCTTCACAAGAGAGGATGTGTGGATTAAGAACAAGCTGGGCTTGCTTCGTTAGTGATCTCTTTTTCTTTGTGGTGGTTACGTTACATAGAGAAGAGCAACTGAAAAGAGTTGTTGGAAATAATTGCTGGTTTAATGGAGGCAGGAGTAAAGAAGCACATACACAATTATTGCTCTTTCTTCCATCATATATGATGATGGCACACTTAACTTGGATCTGAATTTTCCAATCGATCCGTTCATTGACACATCCACCAAAACAGCAGCCAGAACTGTGCAACTGATTTATATCTGTTGTACCTCCCAGCTTACAACCTCAGATATACCAGTGAGCACCAGCGGCAAAAGCAGAAATTGAAGCGAAAGAGCAAATGCAAAGAGTTTACACTATAAAGATCCTGGGCATCAAATCCGAAGAGGAAAAAGCACTAAGTTATACCCCCCGATGACTGAGTGGAGATCCCAAGGTTTGATCTGTGGGTTGTGCAGAGTTAGTTGCTTTTCAGCAGGGCATCAGTTGGGACACTACAATAAACCTCACCCACTGTTGGTTAGGAAGTGGGAAATCAGCCAAACTATTTCTCCTGAGATCGATCTAGCAATCCCTGGTGAAGATTCCCCTTTGAGGATGACAAGTGTAGCTTGAATCGGGAGTGACTGTGATGGACTGCAACCTACCCATCCTGGCTGAATAGTATGCTGACTCACAGGGCAGCAATTCTATCTGTGTCCAGATTTACTGCCTTAGTATTTTGGGGCATCCAGAATTTGGCAATTTCTGAAATAAACACATAAGTTTCAAGCTGGTTTTCTGTACGTTCTTTTAACAACTACACAAAACCGGCTTTAAAGTTAAGATTGATTTTATGCGTTAGCCTGGCTCAGTTGGTAACACTGAGTCAGAAGTTTGCGGCCTCAAGCCTCACATCGGGGCTTTGAATTCATACAATCAAGGCCGACACTCCAATGCAGTGCTGTGGGAGAAGCAGCATTGTCGGAGGTGCCTTCTTTCAGGTGAGATATTTAATCGAGGTCCTGTCTGCCTCTTCAGATGGATGTTAAAGTTCCAATAGCACTATTTGGAAAGAGAAGGGAACTTTCTCCTGGTGTCCAGGTCAACAATCCCTCTGGTAAAATAGATCACTAACTTCATGGCTGTTTATGGGACATTGCTAAGTGAAAATTGGTTGTCGCACTCATGTTTTGTTTTCCGATTCATTGCTTCCATCCAACAGTACATTCTAGGGAAGAGGGCAACACTTGAAAGTTTTTCCAAAAGGAATAAACCCAATAGACCCAATACCTGGATGCTGCACAGTTACAACAGTCGATTCAGATGTCTTCTCTCCTAACTTGTACCAAACATCGTTGGGGTTCAGCAGCCACTCCTCCACTTGGCAGTAGTACCAGCCGCTGTCATCAACGTTGGCATTTTGTAAGACCAAAGTGTACAGTCCAGTTGAGGGCTTGTCAAACTGAAGTCTCTCCTTCGACTTCTCGCCTCTGCCTAACCAGTTCCCATGCTCCACCACGGAATCCCGTCTGGATTTCAGGATAAGTTTGTTGCTTTTGTCTGGTGATTTTTGCATGTACCAGAGTACAGCGAACTGTGCGTCCGGGCTGGTTTGGTTTCGGATGCTGCAGTTTAAGTGGACATCACTTTTTTCTGTGACTACAAGGTTCCTCCTCATTTTGTCAACTTTCAACTTGCAATCTGTAGGGAGAAAAAAAGGCTCTGGTCATTTAAATGCACAAAAAAGTTCATCTTGTTCCCTTATTGACATCCACACTGTCTTCTACTTGGGTTAAAGACATCTCTACAACTTTAAGCTAAATCGAACTCTATCTGAAGAAAGAAAAAAACTTGTATTTTTATAGTGCCTTAAAATGCCAAAGCGTTTCACAGTAATTACTACCAAATATAGTAACTGTTTTTGTAAGCAAATGCTGCAGCCATTTTTCAGTAAATTCCCTGCAGACACCTGTTAGGTGACACAGCTTACACAGGTTCTCGAGCCCTCTAGCCGCTCACTGGTACAATAATGCTACAGTGAGGCTAGTAATAAAAATAATCCTTGAATTTGATATATCGCCTTATCACATCGTAGAGGTATCTCAAAGCTCTTCACAGAATATACTGTAAAGTGATACAAACACAGAAGTCCCTGGAAACATCCATGGAGAGAGAAAAATGAATCACTGCTTCAGGTCAATAACCTTTCAGCAATACGAAAGGTCATTGCTGAAAGATTCTGACAAAAGGTCATTGACCTGAAACGTTAACTCATTTTCCTTTCTCCATAGATGCTGCCTGACCTGCTGCATGTTCCCAGCGACTTCTGTGCTTATACCAGATTTCCCACATCTGCAGTACTTTGCCTTTTGTATACTGTAAAGTGAATTGCCTGTATATTTTATGGGCGAAATTGCGCACAGCAGTGTCTCACAAATACTCGTGGTTTGGAAGGAAACTTGCTTCAGGTTTTTCCTTGCCTGGGAAATGTTAAATATAGAAATATAATATGAAAAGGTATATAAATTGTAGAGCAAAGTTAAATACAACTCAGTGGAACTCTGGCTGGATCAGTTTGACTGATGTTATAATAATAATCTTTGCATTTGATATGACACTTTATCACATCTTTGCAACGCGTCAAAGCGCTTCACAGAATATACTGTAAAGGGAATTGACTGTATATTTTGCGGGCGAAACATAAGCAGATCTCTCAGTCTGGTTTGGTAACTCTTAAGCCCATTAATGGTTTCTGCATGTGTCAAATGTCCAGCTGATCAGAATTCTAATTGACTGTATATTTTGTGGCCAAAATGCGGCACAAGCCACAAAGACATTCTAAGCCAGCGGCCCGTTAAGTAAGTAGATTTATTCACACTGCTACGTGGACAGCTACACGTTCTGCATTGTCTATCCAGTGAATGAATTAATTGTGAGGAACTGAATGCTCACTTGTGTGGTCAGTGATGTTCCTGGGTGACTAATCTTCACAGTTAATTTGTCTGGAGAGGTTTAACAGCTGTCTCACTTCTCCAGTGTGAAATTATTTTACCTCGTAACTGGGCAAACCACAAACATCAGCTAAGAGCCAAAAAGTGGTGGATCCTGTCCTTTCCACTGTTTGCTAGGGTTACAAGCTCTGAAGTTGCTCCTGTTAACCATCAGCAATGCGGGTTGAAAATGTGAGCATCTGATGAGAAATTTTCACATTATTGAAAATTGCAATCACACCATCAACACGCACTTATATAATAGTAATCTTTGCATTTGATACAGTGCCTTATCACGTGTTCAGTATATGCCTCAAAATGGTTATGGAGAGGAAGTGGAAACCTAAGATTGGGAGAGGAAGAGGGAGTTGACTGATTCAAATAAATAGTTTTCTAACAAGTTTTGAAAGAGGAAAGGGAGGTTGCAATTAGCAGGACATTTCAGAGAGAGTCCCAGAGAGTAGAGATAGATTGCCTGAAAACTCAAATGGTGAGGCAGAGAGTGTGTCAATAACTAAAGACACAAAGGTATAAGCCCTAACCCACCATACACACACGTTAGCACAATAGTTGGACTTTTAACTGCTGATGGTTAGTTAGACGAGTATCCATGTAGCAGCACTCATCAACAACTTGTATTTATATACAAGTGGGGTAGAGTCTCAGAGCTCAAATGCTGCCCACTGAGGCTTTGTGACCTGGGGAGGGTTAGGAGGTTAAACCCGTGTCTATCATTCAATGATTCAATCGTACATGATGACTGATGATAATTGATGATGCGATTATCACATCAAATGTCACAATTTTGACTTCTACGTTTCCCAACATCTGGAATTTGAAATCATATAGTCTAAATTGACACTCCAATACAGTGCTGTTCTTCAGATGAGACGTTAAACCGAGGTCCTGTCTGTTTAGGTGGATGTTAAAGGTTCCATGGCACTATTTGAAAAGAAAAGGGAGTTTTTCCCAGTATCCTGGTTAACAACCCCCCAAATAAAATTTGTTGTTCACTTCATCGTTGTTGGGGGCCATTGCAAATCTGCTGCCGCGATTGCGCACAAAACGCAGAGTCACTCCATTTTGCAATATATCCTGTGAAGCATTTTGTAAAGCCCTGATGTGAAAGAAGCTACACCAAATGAAAGTAAGTATTAACAACACTTTTAACAATCCAATGCTAATCCCACCCCTGGGGGTGGAATTTACAAATAACCTGCAGGTTGCTGACTCTACAGATTGTGACATAACATTAATAAAACAAAAGTAAAAGGACTAATCTCCTTCGTGACCTGGCTGTTTGGCAATGCTACACTGCATCTAATTGACAATTTTAGAATAAAGGATGCATTTAGAAGAAGGATTACATCTTGTTTGTGCCACTTGCTCTACATTGTAAGTGGTGCAGCAGAAACGATGGCTGGAGGCCCATTTGACTTCATGCAAATAGTTTGCCTTGAAGGCAGTCAGTCGAGCTCCTGAGTATTGTTGATCTGGCAAGTGAAAAACATTTAAAACACTGAGCTGGACAAGCTTTTGTTAAATGCAAAAGATTACTGCTTTTCTCTTGGGGTGGGGTGGGGGGGGGGGCGAAGATACCAATATTTCCCATTTGTCTTTTATTTGGAGAAACCATTGGAGAAAGAAGCCACCTGCATGTGGCTGAACCTCGACTTTGCCTGTATGCTTACAGCACACTGCATGAGCTGGCGATTTAAAGAGAATAGACGGCAGCTCCCAGACAAATGGATTTGCGGAGCTTTGTGCGGTACTCGAAGACTTGCGAGTCAGTAGCACAGTGAATCCACTATAAATATTGATTAATGAGGCTGAGCAGATCAGACATCCATTAATGGACACAATGTTACTATACTACACTGATTCTTCTCTAATAAATGTCAGTGGTGTTCGTCTGCTAAATGCCATCGCTCCCAGGACTCGTTGCAGGGTTTGCAGACCATTTCAAAGAATACAAGGAGGATCAAACATTTCCGATATTTAAGGCAATGGGGTCGAATTTTTAGTATTTCTGGATGTGTTTCTCAATTAAGAAATACAATGAAGGACTCCTTTTAGTATCTGGAGTTTGTTACGCCGACTCAAGGGAACCTGGCTTCAAAAATAGATCGAGTCGGAGGAGCCTGAGTGGTGTCACAGACTTCAAAATTTCTTCATTAAGAAACAGTTAAGATATTCTACATGTTAGACCCCGATGCCTTTAATTGCCCTGTTGCAACACATACACTTGCCATTTATAGGCCTTATCATTTTGGATATTTAGAATGAACTGGAACCTTCCTAGGTGCCACTCCAATTTGCCACAGGCCCTGTACATGCAACGATTAATTTTATGCCTCATTTCTTTNAAAAAAAAATGGCTTGTGTTCTGTCACAGTGAATGGACGAGGTGACTAACTGAATCGCAATTACTGGTAATGGTTTGAAAAAATTGAGGAAGGAACAAAGAAAAGATCAGGAATAAAATACCAGCACTGCATTTCTATAAACGCACAAGGCATTTCAATTGAGAAAACACCAGTGATACACAAGGGAGATTTTTATTTAAAAAGGCTTTAAAAAGATATGGCGAGAAATATGTACTAAGAATTTTAATCACTTTTGTACGACTATATGCTCTTTCCCCTCCACAACACCTTTTTAATTGAATTTAGCTTTATTTCTTTAGCCCCATTACTGCTTACTCTCTTCCAAATCTCGGTTTATTTATATTCCACATCTTTAACAAATCTTAACACCATCAGTGGCACAAATCTTGACTAGGCTTTGAACAAAGTGCATTCACGGCATTAATCTTAATTAATTAACTAATTAATTAATCTCGTTTTTACGTATTTTTATCAAGAACTTTGAAGATTTTACAGCACAGTACTGTAAAAGTAGTGAAATTTTGTGAATCCGAAAGGTGCAAGCATTTGAGCAAAATGATTATATCATTAACAGATGAATCCAACTTTGAGAAATTACTTAAAATCAACCAGAAGTCAGTACTCTCCGGAGAGGTCAGGTGAATTTCCTATCCCTGCCTAAAATGGTGAATACATATTGCTGTGAGAATGTGCTCAAAATCTATGTTCCAAGTTACTGTGAACTAGGCTATTGTAGCAATATAACAATTACTTTACCACCTGAATACAGAATTAAAGATTGATCTGTTTGTTCAGCAAGACATCCTAGGTTGAGTTACACGCATTAGAAATAGTCCTTTTGACAGAATTTGTTCAGCAGATTAATGCATTTGCTCTTCAGGAATAAAATAAAGCCAGGTGTATCATTTCACACTTCATTTTACTAGCTGAGCAATCATCAAACACAACATGTAATAGTCAATACATTGACTGAATAAAGCAATCCAAATGAGTGAGGACTTGTCTTGTGCAGTAAAAGACAGTTATTCTATAAGAAGCTGAATGCATGCTTTAAGAACTGTTCTTCCAATTTACACAGCTTTGATGTCTGAATTCTCAATCAATCCCTTCAACTGATGGAAACATTCAATTGCTGAAGTAATTGCTTCTCTTAATGTTGTAGATGTGAACATCGTGTGTGTTCGATTGTTCAGTTCCCCATAGCTTCACACGGTTGTGCTAATGAGGGTGCCAAGAGGACTCGTATTATAATACGAAATTCAACACATTCTGTGTAATTGGACTGTTTCAGCATTGAACTCTGGTTTCATAGTGTGCTCCCAAC